TAGCCACAGACACAAATATTTCCATTATTGTCCAACTGTATTGCACAGTGATAGTCTAGAAAATACTTATTCTTAAGGATATTGTTGCTGGATACAGACTCTTTGGTTGACAGGGTTTTTTCCAGCATTATAAAAATGTTCCATACTTTTCTGTCTTCAGTGTCTCTGAGGAAAAGCCAGGTGCTAATCACATTATTATTCTTTCAATGTTTATAAGATTTTTGCTTTGACTTTTACTGCTTTAACTATGGTTTTTTGTGTGGCCTTTCTGTTTATTCTGCTTGGTAACTGGTGTCAACTTGAACCCGTAAATGTATGTTTTTTATCAAATTTGGGAAAATATTGGCTATTACTTCTTTATTTTTTCTGTTTCATCATTTCACTCTTCTATTTCTGAGACTCCAAGTACATGTAATAAATTTAACCACTTAATATTCTCTAACACAGCAGTCCCCAACATTTTGGCACAAGGAACTGGTTTCATGAAAGACAATTTTCCCACAGAACAGGAGGGTTGTGGGAGATGGTTTCAGGATGAAACTTTTCCACCTCAGATCATCAGGCATTAGATTCTCATAAGGAGTATGCATACTAGATCCTTCACATGTACAGTTCACAATACAGTTTGTGCTCCTATGAGAATCTAATGCCACCACTGAGCTTACTGGAGGTGGAGTTCAGGTGGTAATGCTCGCTCATCTGCTGTTCACCTCTTGCTGTGTGACCCAGTTCCTAATAGGCCACAGACTGGTACTGAACCATTGCCCAGGGGTTAGGGACCCCTGCTGAAACAGATCTCTGCAGCACAGTTCATTTTTATTTCAACCTGTTTTTTCTCTCTGTTCTCTATACCAAATAATTACTATTGATTAAAGTTCACTTATTCTTGCTTTTGTCAACTCCATTTGGCTGTTAGTCCATCAAGTTAAATCCTTTTCATATATTGCATTTTTTAGGTCTAGAATTGTCATGAGTTTTCTTGTTTGTTTGTTTTTTACAGAGTCTCACTCTGTTGCCAGGCTGGAATGCAATGGTGCGATCTCGGCTCACTGCAATCTTCACCTCCCAGGTTCAAGCGATTCCCCTGCCTCAGCATCCCAAGTAGCTGGGACTACAGGCATGCACCACTATGCCCAACTAAGTTTTTGTATTTTAGTAGAAGTGGGGTTTCACCATGTTGGCCAGGATGGTTTCGATCTCCAGACCTCGTGATCCACCCACCTCAGCCTCCCAAAGTGCTGGGATTACAGGGATGAGCCACAGTGCCTGGCCCACTGGTTCTTTATCTTTTCTTTTTTTGGCAGAGATTTCTATCTCTTAATTCACTATAAACACGGTGTATTTACTGCATAGAATATGGTCATGATAGCTGTCTTAAATCTTGTCCGTTACTTCCAATGCCTGAGCCATCTTGGTGTTGATATCAGTTAATGTTCTTTCCTCATGAGAATATACACCATTGTCCTAACAATTTGTGTGTCATATAATTTTGGATTGGATCCAAGACATTATTAATATCAAGATGTAGAGACTCTGGATTGTTAGTTTTCCTCCTATGAGTATTGTTCCCTTTAATTTACTACAAAATTATCTTGTTTCACCTCTTAACTGTAAATTCTGATTTCTGGATGACAACTCTGGTCTCAATTCAGATATTTTATCTTTAACTAGAAACTTTGAATCTGTTCCATGTATATATGAATCATGGGTAAGCCACCTATGTTGGAGACAGAATGAATATGAGAATCCCACATGTAACTCTTTTCCTCTCTCATGGCTAAGGTCTCCCCAGATTCAGTTTTCCCATCTTGAAGGACTGTAGATTTCTTCGGCAGCACTCTCTTATCCTGCATGCCATGTCTAAACAGGAAAAGTCCTGAAAAAGCAATAATTCTATCCGATTCCCGTCCTCCATGAAGATACTCCTCTAATAGACTCTGCCTACTTGTGTTTCTTCTATAGTGTTGTCAGTGGCTGCTTTTTGTATTATATCCAGGATTCATAGTTGTTTTCTTGCAGAGATGTCAGTCCCTAGGAGCCTACTTAGTCATTATGTAAAGCAAATCCTTCTTTCCTTTTCCTTTGATACTTGTTTTAGTTTCAGGAGGTCCTGACCTCAAGAGTCACTATTAGTTGGTCAACAAAAGTGTTCCTTTCCTCTAGCCAGCAAACAAGATAGTTCCTTTAGTGTTTTCAAAGAGTAATTGTTTCTCAATATTTTTAATTTTTTTTATTTTCCTACTTAATTTGTTTATAAATAAGTAGCTTTCATAGAGGGTTGGGGGTTCTGAATAGGTCTTGCTGCATTTTATTCTGTAATTTAAGAAAGAAGTCATCAAGAAAATTTATAAAGCTGGAAAACTTGTGCTTTAGTAATGTGATCTTGTAATCCTGGAATTTAAATCTCTATTTTTCCATCACTAAAAATGCCCCTTTCAACTCTAAGGCTGCATAGAGCTCTCAGCCATATAGAGAAAACCTCTAAGATATGTAAGTCTAAATATTACTATGTTCAATAAACAGTTACACTTTCTTAGTTTAAGGCAATATTGACACACACTAAACAACATAATCACTTCAGTGCTCTATTCATTCTTTCAAGACTTAAATTCAATGTTATTTTCAAAGAGCCCTATAGCTTGTTATGATGATGGTGGTCATCCCACAGGTTTACAATCGTTATTGCTCAAATGTTTTGTATTACTGTCAAAGTTATAATAACTCCTTTATGATCCTTTAGGGTGTCTATTCCATCTATTCTACCTTAAATTCTGTAATTTTCCTATCATCATGAATCCTGTGGGTAATTGTGTCTTTTGGCGTTGTCAGAACTTCAGACTAAATCTACTTTAAGCCAGTGAACTGCATTAGAAAAGGAAAAATCCTTTAAAAGGCGAGACATTTGGCACTGTAGAGATTAGAGGGACCTTGGAAATTGATTTCAATCAGCTGATTGATGGTGAATTGGTAGCTGACTATACCCATCTCTGGGTTACTTGTAAGCATTCCAAGTAAGCTCATTAACATTAAAATATAAATGTGGGAGCATAGCTAGCAGCTTCCAGAAGGAAACCCCTACCTCAACCATGAGAATCTTACCCCTCTCAATGATTTCATAGTCATCTGTCATTCCTGTATTCTCCAGCACATTCTCAGTGTTCTCAACACACCATGGTATTCACAAGGCATCTAAGACACAAAGAGTTATTCTCCAAATTAAAAAGGAGTCAAGCTGTAGTACAGATGTAAGCTGTCCACTAGAAATATCATGTGAGCTACATATTTAATTTTAAATTGTCTAGGAGCTACTTTGTTAAAAAGTAAAATGAAAAATTAATTCTAATAACATATTTTAACCCAACACATTCAAATAACTATCATTTTAACCCAACACATCAAAAATATTATCATTTACCTTGTCATAAGCATTAAAATAAATGAAATACATATTTTGCCATTCTCTTTTCATTTTACATTTTCAAAATCCAGACTGTATTTTCTTACAGCACATCTTAATTTGTACTAGCCACATTTCAAGTACTCTATAGCCATATAAGGCTAGTGGTTACTATACTGGACAGCATACCATCTAGTACTTTTTTTCCTTTTCCCTTGAATATGGGAAACAATAGCAGGGCAAGAGTTTCTTATGATATAATTTCAACTGTCATGTCTTCAGTCCACCCGGAAACTGACTTCTGTTCATTCATGCTAGTTCATAGACCATGATTTAATAAAGAGATATTTTGGGCACAGATTCAAAAATATAGGATCACTTTTTCTGGGCAATGATAGACTGTTGGAGCAACAGAACTAGAGGCAACCTCAAGCAACTATCAAAGTGCTATTCTCTCACTGTCTAGAGAGATAAATGATCCAGCTAAGCTCAAACAGCTAGTTAGCAGCAGAGCCAGGTTGGTAATCCACAATTCGAGTTTGCAGTCTATGAACTTTCTGATGCAGTATGTTGAATTTTACCACACTAAAATATGGTACTGGAGGCTACTGTATATGTATTTTCTTTCTTTCTGTTTTTTTTTTTTTTTTTTTTTTTTTTGAGACAGAGTCTGGCTCTGTCTCCCAGGCTGGAGTGCAGTGGCCGGATCTCAGCTCACTGCAAGCTCTGCCTTCCAGGTTTACTCCATTCTCCTGCCTCAGCCTCCCGAGTAGCTGGGACTACAGGCGCCTGCCACCTCGCCCGGCTAGTTTTTTGTATTTTTTAGTAGACACGGGGTTTCATCGGGTTAGCCAGGATGGTCTCGATCTCCTGACCTCGTGATCCGCCCGTCTCAGCCTCCCAAAGTTACTGTATATGTATGTGCTTTCTATGGCATGGCATTAGTATTTGTATGGCTACTTTCTATGACATGGCATTAGTATTTCCTCGTCTTTTCCCTATGCAAGCTCTCAGTGATACATTTCTTAGGTGATGAACAAGCTCAAATAACTTCTAAAATATAAGAAATGTAGACCACTTCTGAACTACAGAAATGAGGCCTAAGATATAGTGGGGCAGAACATTGGAATCAAGAAAAAAAAGTGAGCTATAGTTCTAGCTCTGATGAAAACTAGCTGTGTGACCTTGGGCAAATCTCTTAACCGCTCCATGACCCAATCTCCTTATCTGCAAAATGACTGGCAGTGGGAGGATTAGATTATTTATAAGGTCCCTTCCATTCTAAGATACTTATTCTAATTCCTGCTAGACAAATGATTATATCATAATAACCTTTCTAAGTTATTCTTCTACTCAGAGGGAAAAAAATGGTGCCACCTGCTCTCTTTATGGATACTTCTAAAAATTAATCAAAAAATACTAAATGATTTTATAAAGAAGAAAAATGTTAAATCTCAAGTAATCACTACCATAACAGTGTTTCTCTATAAGCAACCATCCTACAACAGTAAGCATAATAAAAAGCAATACCATGGTTAAAATTATACTTCTCTTCAGAAAATTTTATTTCACACAAATAAAAGTGAGAAATTCATAATAAAACTATATTGCATGGATAGGCATTTTTTATTTTTACATTTTGAACAGAAAGCTACTGGTTTATATTGAAAATTGTGGTTTAAAATATCTTAACACTACTCCCACTTACTTCCAATTCATTCAATAGATGTGTATATGGCATTTTTGCTGGGCCAGGCATCATATAATGATGAGCTAAACTGACTTGTCCCCATGGATCTTATAGTTTGATGGATAGATCTAAAGAAAATTAAACTAACTGCTCCTTTAAGGACTGAGTATATGATACGTCATGTCATCCTTCTAATAATTAAAAACTGATCCCCCCAAAAGCAGCTATACAAACATATAGACCATAATCCATGTTTACCTTGCTACTGTACACGTGACTAAGAAGGCAAAAATTGGCACATTGATTCTAAAGAGAATCCTGGAAATACAAATTCCTGACAATACAGTGCCATCCTTTATGCTAAAGTGATTCCTCAAAACTCTAAACAGGACTCCAGAATGAAGACAAGCCCTCTACCCCTGATTTCTAACAATTAGCAACATGGAGAATTGATCAAAAGGAGGGATGCAATGTTCAAATTCTGTTTGCTGGCCATTATCTGAATTGGCTCTAAGTGATTAATATTTTCCTAGAAGATTCTCTTTTGATATTTATATGTGTTGCCAAAAAATTCCCAGGCCTTCCATAATTCTTTAATTAAGAGTTCTCAAACCCTAGTGAAGATTAATGATCACAAAATAGTGCTCCTACTACTATTGTGTTTTCTGTTAAAAGTGTGAAATGCAAAATTCGATAGAAGATTTCTTCCAATAAAGGAGTATAAAGAGATTTCCTTAAAATTACAACAATTACAAATTCTGTTATGCCTTTTATTCTGAAAATACCATAATATTATCAGTGGTCATTCTTGGGAAACAATATTGGCATTCCTCATTCTTACAACTAAAAACCTAAATCCAAGAGCCTTTGCTACGTCCTGGAAAAAAAAGATGAAGCAAAGCCTTCCCTATAGAACAAGGGAAAACACAGACATATGGTAGCTAGAGAAGGAAGAAACATTGTAAACCCAATGTCGTCCACCCCATATCTATCAAGTGTCCTTTGTAAGACTGATGTCTACCCCTGATAACAAGAGGGGTAGGCAGAGTCTGAAGTCAGAATATCAAACACATTTGAAAAGAAAACAGGCGGAAAAAGAATCACTTCTATCGGGCACTAGCCAAATGTCCATTTTTATGTACTGGCTTCTTTCAAAATATTCAATCACACCTAATAATTGGCAGAGAACACAAAAACGCTCTCACTCCCATGCTGTTGCATTCACTTCCCCTGGGGTACGTGGCCATTTGTAACCACTAGCAGCCGCAAGGAAAAAACCCCAGGAAGACCAGACACGTTCAATTACACCCCCACCCCTCCTGCCTTACACCTCTCTGTTATTAATACACTTTAGCCTTGTGGGTTAGGAAAGGGTCCTTAAAAGCATCAAAGTAACATTTTTCTAACATTTCTGTTAGAGAACTAAAGGATTTTTTATTAAGAAAGATATAAAGACAAGCTAAAATATCAAACATCATGTTCAATTGATGATTCCTGAACACTTTTCATTTAATCAGCTTCTCAATGGTTTGTTAGAACTAAGAACATGTCTCACTCACAGAATAAGATACATGTTTTATGAAATCTCCACAAAGGAAGAATGATTATTCTTGCTTTGGAATAATTCTTATTCTTGCTGCTTTAAAAAAAAATTGGTTTCTGTTCTTCATCTCTATGCTGCATGCTGTCTAAACAAAGATGTATAATTAGCTGGGTCCAATCTGAGAAGGAGTCACAATAGTATATGTATTTTCTCATTTACTAATTCCAAAATTGTGTGGATAGAACCCTTTATTTTTAAGTGATAGTCTACAAATACTGGGATAGATTAACTCATTAATTTCACCATCAATTTAGTAGTAGTAGTTACTACTAGTAGTTCAGCAATATTCCAAGTGACTTATTTAATATAAATTATTAGAATATGCAGAATGAACATGCCTCTGACAGTCATTTCCTATACAAATATCTATTGAGCACTTAGAATGTGCCTATGGCTCTTCTAGTTGCTGAGAATATCATATTAAGGTAGGCCCTTTGGTATCCGCAGTCTAATGGAGGTGATTAGAGAGGTAAAAAGCAAAAATAACGGTTTAGTAAGTGCTTTGCTTTGTGAGCTCACGGACACTTACACAAGAGGACAACCTCGGCCACATTTTGGGGCCATAAAACTTCAGGGGGAACATAAGAGGCCTGGAAATGATAGAAAAGTTAGTCAGGTGATGATGAACAAATGTGCTTTAAAAAAATCATTGGACACAAAGTCAGCTGAAGACTGACGAATGTTTGTGAGCATGTGTTGCTCCCAAGTCAGTTAATCAGGACAAATTTTCTGGAGAAGATCAGCCTGGAGCACAGTTTTAAAATAAGGAAATCACAGCCTTAGGGTAGAGGGGCAGTCCTTTTTGCTCTATCTGTCTTTGGTCTTACTCTAAAAACAGACAAGAAACAAACTGTGTCTCTAGGACAATCCTAAAAGAATATGCTAAAACACACCAAGCCAACAACAACAACAACAAAATTAGAGGTGAAACAGCAAGAACACAATTCCTTGAAATATACTGGATACCTCAAGACTTATTCTAAGTTCCTGTATCTGCTCTGCTCTTGGCTTCAGGACTTCGGATACCGGACTCCCCAGAATAAATGCTCTTGGCGATGCCTCTCATTAAGAAGAATTACCCCTAAGGATGCCACCAAGATCTCAAAGCCTAATGCACACTTCTTTGATGGCAGGACAACTCCCAATTATAAAAACAAGAGCAGTAGTAGAAGTCACAGCACTGCAATGAAATTATGCTGCACATTTAGAAAGTTCTAGGAGGGCTTTATGTTCATAATCTCATCTCACCCTCACAAAGCCTCTGCACGGTAAGTATTATCATCACCCTTAGTTTATGAATGAGGAAGTTCAAGCTTAGGGAAGTTCCCTGAAGTATCCTCAGTCCCACAGCTGGTGGATACAGGAGTGAGATGTACACACAAGGTTGCCTAATTCCCAGGCCCATGGTTTTTAGAGCACGATCCATCCTGGTTTACTGCCTCCAACACCATTCACCAACATATAAGGCCAACACCAGCTGCCCTACAACAAAGGAGAAAGGCAAGAAAGGGCTGAAGTAGAGCAAGAGAAAGGAGGAAAAGGGTTCGTCCAGAACCTCTACAGTTGCAGATTAATTACTACAATTGCAGAAGGGACTGGAGAGATAGGACAAAGGAAAGATCTGACTTAGTTTATTGCAATAGCACAGTATTTACACTGTTTAAAAGAATATGCAAAAGATAACATGAGGCACAGTGGCCGTGTTTCCAGAGTTACCACTTCACACATTTTACATTTTGTGCCCTTCTTCAAACAAAGAGGCTGGACTTCCTCTTTACCACTGGGCAACCAACACTAAAAAAAAAATTTTGAAGGTAAAAATTTTCCATTCTTCCTTTTTACATATTGAGCAATAAAATACCATTATATTTTAAGAAAGAGTAACAATCCTTGCTTTCATCTTTGAGTTTTAAAATAAATTGTTCCATCTGTGTCATCAGTGAGAGAAGAAAATGTGGTTGATTAGCACTGAGTTCTCATCACAAGTAACTAATATTTATCCAACACTTTTTCTTAATTTTTATTGAATTGTTTGAAATCTTCCTCCTTTTTTAATACACTGATCTTCAGTAAACCTATAGGTGTAAATCACACCCTCAAAATATCAAAGGTAATGATTATACTTGGGGTCTATAACCTACAGGCAAAATCCAGCCCCTTGCCTCTTTTTGTAAACAAAGTTTGATTGGAACACAGCCATACTCACTCATTTACTATTGTCTATGGCTGCTTTTTAGCTACACCAGCCAAGTTTAGTAGTTGCTATAGAAACCATACAGTACACAAAGCCTAAAGTATTTACTATCTGGCCCTTTATAGAAAAACTGTGTTGATCCCTGCCCTATGCCATTGATACATTCACCGATAGAAGACTTCATTATTCTTCTCTAACATCTGTCTTCTGGATACTCATCAATTCACTCATTCATTCATTTGCTAATCAACTAATGTCTGTGAAACATCTTCTGTGTCCCTGGCACATAGATGAAGAATGGGTTAGAGACTCGTGGGGAAACAGACTAAAGAATACCACCAGGTGATGACTGCTCCAATAAGACAGGAGCCTGGTAAAAACGAAACCCTGGAGGCATCAGGCTGAGGGAATCAGATAAGGTCTCAGGCAGTATACAGTTCGGGCGCTTCAGGTATTCTGGTTGAGATACTATTACCCATTTTAACAGCGATGTCAAAAATCACTGGGTTACATTATGCTTTTACGACTTCACAAAAGGCACATTCTGACTTAATGATAGATCTTTAAATATTATAAAAGTGTTGAGACGGTTTGGAAGAGATGCAGTTTCTTTGTGACATCAGGAGAGCTGATCATCTCCAAGCATCTGATAATAAGGGCACCAGCTCTTCCCCAAAGTTGTAAGGACTAAGTAACATTAGGTGTCAGACAGAACACAGTCAGGGAAACTATCCAACACAAGATTCACCTGCGCTTGGTGGCCCACAACAATCAACTGCTTATATTCCCATTTTTGTTTACCCACCAATCCCACCAAAACCCCAATGGTCTATGTTGAACCTTATAACTAGAGAAGTTAGCCTCATGTGTGAGCAGAAAATAAATACCTAATAAATAAATGATTGATGCAATGAGTGAGGATGATTGCTCCTTTGGTGTTTTAATGAATGGCAAAGGAGGAAACGAATACTATGAGATACCGTTGTCTGAGTGAATATCTAGGACTCAAGCTTAAGTATAAGCTTAAGCTTAGCTAAGTCAGCATAAATGGCATTTTAAAATATGCTTGCTTTGTTTTTCTTTTTGACTTATTGAATACTTACCTCCCTGGTAATGGATAAAAACAATGGGAAATTCTTAGCAACCTAAACAACCAAATAAGACTTATATTTAACTATTATAATGTGATCAATTTATTTTTCATCAAACAATAAACATTTGATTTGACTGGGTACCTGGAAACAGGCTGTACTTTACATATAAATTAGCCATATGTTTATTAAAGAGTGTTAATAAAAGTATGTTGACACTTTTCCTTTCTTACGTGATTTTAAAGTGACATTCTATTTCCATATATTTGCATTTAAATATTTAAATAATTGTCCATTGACCTAAGCAAAATAAACACTGCAAAAGAAAACCAAAAAATGTTCACTTATTAAAACAACAAAGAAATTGCTTCATTTTGGAAGGAGCAGTACACTAAGGTAATCTTTTATTCCACAAATATAAATTGACATTTTATTCAATTAAGAAAGATTGCTAGTGTAGTTGCAAACCTTTACAATAAATGTTTATATGGGGACTCTCAAAGCTAGTGAGGGTATGATCTATCAATTACATCAGAAAATATATTCTATTTTAGCTTGATAAGATTTATATGCTGAAATGTAAACACTCCTGGATTTAAAAAATATACATATGATTGATAGATTTCTTGGCTCTGACACCATTAGAGGATTTGTTTTATTTTGTTTTGACTGTATTCTCTGGTATAAGTAGAAATCACTGTTTAAAAGCATTATGTATCTAAATAGTTCTAAATATTTTTAAAAATCTAAATAAAAAGAAAAAGCTACACCTAAATTTTCTCTTGCCTTTTTCATGTGGCCAAAAAAAAAAAAAAAAAAAATCTGATGTGACAAGTTTACAAGAATCTCTGTTATTCCTTTCCTTTATGTAGCCTAGCTTCTTGTTTACTTGTGATATCCCAGGGTGTTCTCACAAAAATTAATTTCAAATCTAAAAGGCAAAGATAATCACTACTTTCAGCAATAAAAGGTAACAGAAAGAAATTGCAGTTTAAGTATAGAGAGCATATAATTAAGAACAAGAAAAATTAAAGTATTCTTGAATATGTGTTGCTTTAATTTTTCTCCTGATGGCTTTTCAGATTACCTTAAAAAGATCTATCAAAACTCCTCCCCTAGAAAAGATCTATTAAAAGCCACAGACACTTGGAGATCCACGAGACGGAAAAAAATGGGTCATCTTATAAAATTGATTATGTGAGTTGTCTATATGCAGTGCATATGTCAGCAACAAGGAAAACAACCTCCAGATATATTCTGCAGGCAGATTTTCTTCTGGAGAAAAACCTATGTTTTCCTATATATTGTGAAGCCAACAGGGTAGGGTAGGAGCAGTTAAGTTTCATCCATAAGCATCTACATCAGGCTGGTTTTTGAAAAGAGTCAAACCCACAATAGCCCAGAAAATAATATTTTGTAATAACAAAAATGGTATATATATATATTTTTTTTCCTGTCTAAATCTGGAATCCTGACCACCTTATTTTAAACAAGCCAGAGATTGCAAGCTTCAATCTGTTTGGATAGAAAAGAATTTATATAAATGTTTTGTTCAAGCCCAAAAGGGAAAGAGAGTTTAAATATACAGTGCATGAAAGATGCATGCCCAACTTCAAAACAGCTTAGTGCACAGAAGAGGAAAAATAATGTAACCTTCTGTTAGTCATTCTCAACAGTTTTTAAGCTTAAATATCTTGCAATTTGCAACATCATTTCAATGACCCCCAACAGTGAGAGATTAACCAAAATTTCATAACTGCCCCACTCTCCTCCCCTCATGCATCTTGAGGGGAGGAGGAGGAACAAGAAGGTCAAAGAACAAATGGAAACAAAATCTGTGTTTTGCACTCTTTCTCTGCACTTGAGAAAGAAAAGGAGGCAGATAAATCTGTATAATACTAAACCAAATCTCTTTAATTCCAGTCAGCTTTTATCATTCAGCCACTGAGTCTGTGTGTGGAAAAATTCATGCTAATTCCCCCTAGCAACAGCCTCAGCCTATCAGGAGACTTTATGTACCATGCAGCTGCCAGCCAGAGAGAATAACTCTAAGTAGGTCAGGCCTGTATTTCTAAAAATGCTACGGTCTAGTAACCCCACTGTCCCGTCTGTCTGCCCTGCCCCATAATAACCTCAATTGCTTGGTGACACAATGACATACTATCCTGTTAGAGTGCAATCACATCATGCTACATTATTCTGCTGCGAGCATGACTGCTGGGTGAAGGACCCTCGGAGGGGCAGCATTAATCAGGCAGGCATTCATGTCCAGCAGCACTTCGCTCTAGAAATGGGGACTGCATTAATGACCAGCTGTTTGAACTAACACAAACAAAATAATGTCTTCCACCCTGATGGGTGCACAGAATACACTATTCTGATCTGGCAGGTTCCGCTTCTTGACTAAATCGAAGATGTAAATTAAACGGGCTCAGACAATGTCAGTTTTGGCAACCTCAAAGTGAGTATATTTAAATTATATTACATGTGATTCAAAAAGCTATTGATTTAATATATGCAGCTTTCCATGCTACAATTTTCCCTAATCCACATTTTTAAAAAAGAAAAAAATGCATACATGGGTAATGCAATACATATGCACATATTACCCAGCAAGCTAAACACACAGAGCTGAACTAAAATTGACTTCTCTTTGGGCAGAGAAACAAAGCGGGTCAGGAGTAATTGTGCGGCATGAACACAAATACAAATAGAAAATGAATGCCGTGGAGGAGCACTGAAAACAAATAAGAGTAAACATTCTAAGCCTACGGACCAATCAGCTCCTCCCACCGTCTCTTTGTGGAGGCTTCAGTAGCACCCAAATCTCCAAGCACGAGAGACAAGGGAGGGAAGTGAATGTGGCCTTCAAACCTCAACAATTCTGGTACGCTGACTTCCCATAACGTTTACTGACAAGCTGCTGTTTGGCTTCAAGACAACAAAACCTCCTTCAAGGTTTAAACTCGGGAGATCACCATAAATCAAAACTCCTTAGTTGTTTTTTAAATTCGAAAGTGGGAATTTTAGAATTTAATTTACCCTATTTACTTGAATGTCACTTTTGACTTCTCTCTATTGAAATGCACAAAAACAAACAAAATTATGTGTGGATACAGAGATAGGAGACTGGCAGTGCCATTTTTGGCTATTTAGTAAAACGTCTTGTATTGAGAGAGCTTGCATTGATATTTTCTCACATGATTACTTTGCATGTTTAAGCATTCACAGTTTCATTTAATGAACATATCCCCCCTGATAAACTGATAATTCAGCCTTCAATTATACAGAATTCAGTAAGTCTTATTTGTGTAATCCATCAGTGTTTGATTTACAAACAGAAAATTTCTTAATCCATTTGCCCTTGTTTGAACTGGCTTTGATAACTTAGTTATGACTATCTTCTTCACTTTGTGGCACACATCACATAGTTATTCTTGGATAGATACAGTCACTGACGCAACTATGAACCGCTAATTACAAGCTGGTGACATTCTGCTTGTCTATGCAGCTTTGAAGTTCTAAGGCTGTTTTTCTCTTGTGCGCTTGCTCAGTTTCAATCTCTTCTCCTCATGCCACCCACCCCCGATCACTTACTCTCTTTCCTCTTTTCACTTTAAAGCCTTTCTGGATTCACTCTAGGACTATCTGGAGAAACAGGTAAGAATGATCAGATTCTGTAACTTACTGCTTTTCCTTTCCCTCTGTACTATCCCTGCACACAGATCTACAGTTTGAAAGTACAGTAATAAGATCCTCACCCAGCCCCACCCGCAGGAATGCATCAACAGCTGGCCAAACATAATCCAACACACAGAGCTGCCTTTGTAGAATTAGTAACAAACAGTGGAAGGGCCAGACAGGCGTCCCAGAAGAGCTCCCCATGACAACTGGGAAAGCTCCTCACCCCCAGGGTTGAGCTGACTCCACTGAGCTGGGGTTGGAGAACCCCAGTCCTCACATTTGAATCTACAATAAGCCTCAAGTGCCTGCCCTCAACCTCACTAGAAGCTACTTGGAGGGTATTCGGCTCTCCATAACAGCAAGTTAGAAGCAAGCATTCTCCATACTGACAACGGCCATGCTCTGCCTCATGGCACATGCCTTTTGAAATGCAACACTGCAAATCTCCAAATCACATGAAGAGCATTTACACCTGTATCCAGCCATCTTAGCTGTGAGCTGGTAGGACCACCTCTCCTCCTTAGAAAATAATTTCTTTTTGCAAATTACAGGCTGATCCCGGCATTCTGAAACATGTACATATAACACTGTATTCATCTCCACTGAGCATTTAGCATCTGAAGCCTGTGGTAGCCAGCTGGTCTCAAAGTCATCTGGGATACATTTATTTTGATTAAATTGATCAGATTTCTATTTACAGGATAGAATTTTTTTGCCATTACTGAATACAGCTGTGTTTACAGGGATTTGTAGAAGAAGAAAACAAAACCCCACAATCGGTCCTAGCAAAGCACAGAGCATTCAGAACTGGAAGGAGTTAAAACAGAGGGGGCTTGCTTTCAGAGTAAAAAGAAAATTCTGCATGCAGCTGCTTTGGCCATGCTGTCTCACTAGTCAGGAAATGGGTGTTGAGCTGGAGCTGAAAACACAAGCTGCAATCAAGCCCGATCCAGCAAAGTGACAGACTTCCTGTGTAAAATGGTCAGAAACCTTTTTCATGTCTCTACATGCATGCACATGCATTTAAATCCATGCTGCGAGGCTGCGATTTTCTCTGGGGACACTGGTACAGTCACCTAGCCCATCAGTTCCTTCGTTGACAGCGTCGGGGACATCCAGACTGCAATTTACAGTTCCTCCATCCATGTGCTGGGTTATAAATTATGCCATCCTCCCTAGAATGAGAATGCACAGCAAGCGGCAGACAATCACCCGGCATTCGGCATCTCTTTCCTTCCACGCGCTCCCTCACTCCGCCTTTCTCCAGCTCTGCCTTCTCAGGCAGATACATCAGATACCTTGTTTATCCATCTTCAGCTCCACTCTGAGGTAAAATGCCACCACATCTCGCCATGGGTTGACCCCCCAGACTAAATCCCTGGGAACAGCCTGAGCTGGGTGCACGCGGCCGAGGCGACGGCTGCCCTTGCCCTGCGGAGCACGGGTGGGCATTGGATGTAAGGTACTCCTAACTTCCCCTTCCCCAGTCCTTGGCGTCCTCTCTAGCCGTCCCACCCAGGTCTTCTGCAGCTTCACCCTGTCCTCCAAGTCGCCTCGCCCAGCTGCGAGGGAGGAGACCCTGGCCGGAGCTCCGCCAGCAGGTCCTTCTTTCGCAGGGCGCAGACGCACGATTCCGGGATCGGGTGCACCACGGCGAAGCCCAGGCGGGAGACGGCAGGAGCAGCTCAGGTAACCAGGGGAAGCTTGGCGTGCCCACGGAGATGCAGCCCTGGAGCTGTGAGGAGAGACGGTCTGGCTTCAGAATTAAAAAAAATAGAAAAAAAAAAAAAAAAAAAAAAGAAAGAAAGAAACACAAAACAGCGCAGCTCGGCACCAGCGGGGGTGGAAAAAACAGACACAAACCATAAAAAAAGCAAGAGTTAAAATCAAATTTAAAAAAAAAAATGGAATACAGAGATCAGAGTACTTCATGCGACTTTTATTTCTGACGTTTCTTGGTTTATTGGCCTCCCCACCCCCTCCAAAATCTGTTCTGTCCCTGAACACCACTGTCTGTCCATGAGTGCCAGTCACAAAGACTCTTGCTCCCAAGTGCTGCAGACCCAGCATCACATGAGAAACCACATGACAAACTGCAGTCGGCTGCTGATGTGGTCAACTCTTTCACCCAGGCAGGGGGAGCAGGAGGGAGACAAACCTCAAGTGAGACATGCCCCTCTCAGGCGGCCAGGAAGACATTTCCTTAAAAGAACAATGAGAAGCATGCCTCTGAAGCTTGCTTGGGAATACATATACACTTTTACATATGCACACTTACAGAGACTAAAGAGGCCGTGGATACTTGAAGACATTCTGAGGATGCTGTACCACAGACACTAGCTGGATGGCAGCAATATTATTTCTAGTTTGTATTAGTCAAAGCTGATTCCACTTAAGTGGATTCCTGAAAAGCACACACCACGTCTTCATAGCATGATCAGGCTTGGAAAACCAATTCTATTCTCTCTCCCTGCAATCTGTATCTGAACCTGCATTGTGAATAATTTATTTTTAGACTAATAAGATGCTTGCCAAGACTGCTCCCTTTCTTCGGTAAGCAGCACAGGCAATATTCACCCGAGTAGGAAAGCCTTGTCCCTTTGTGGGGAGAAGAGAGGAGGTGGTTTTTTTAAAAAAAATGCAATTTCTTATTTAAAGGCAGAAAACACATAGCAATAAAGTTCTCGCAAGTAATCTTAAAAACAAGTGAAATGTTTCTGCTTCATTGAATCGACATGTCTCTCATTTGCAGTTTGGCATCTCATGCTGGCAAATGGTGGTGATATTTTTCTAACACTGTTCATGGCTGCAGCTACAGCCCTTAAGCCACATGGATATTGCTACTTCTCAGCAGGGTGAGAGCAAACAATTGCTTTCTGGAGCACCTTTCTGTGGAGGTGCTGCACTGCCAGGTATGTTTTACTAGTTACATTAAGGCAAGTACAAGTGAGATTGCCTCAGGGTCTGTAGATTCTGTCACTCTTTCTGGAATTAAGAAGTTGCCTATTTGGGATGTCCTTCCCAAGATGTGAGAGGTATGCCTTTTTAGCAAAATTTTAGCAAAATTGATTATGCCAGCTAACTAGAACCGGAGAACCATTAAACAGGTGGGAGATAATCATCTACAACATGTCTTATTGGACTGTGTGGATATCAAGTGGCCATTAATTCATTTGAGATGCCCTTTCAGCCTCTCACCAGTGTGTCAAGGATGGCCCCAGACACTGGGGTTCCAGTGATGAGCAAGAGATGCATGGTCTCAGACATCCTGGAGCTCAAGGTCCAGTAACTGCATACGTCTTTTGTCCTTCAAGACAACCTTTTCCCAATTTGAATTCTCCAAAGTTAACCAAGGAAGAGATCCAGCAGTCACTTTTTTTTACCCTTGCCTCTTCAGCATCCTCTATGATCTCCCAATTCCTATATATTCTCTCTTTACCATCTGTCCTTGGATTTAAGATTTCTTCTCCATTCATTCCTAGAGTCCAAGCTCAGGTACTAATACCCTCCTCTCTGGTGATCCTCTTTTTGTTTCATTCCATTTGGCAGCCTGCCACCAAACTAATCCTACCAAACCACCACATTCGTGATGTCCAGAACTACTGTCCAGATCGGCTAGACAACCCTTTGTCCAAAACCAAGGTGGTTCCTTATTTCTTCACATTCATACACTACCAGTCAAGACACTCTATTATCTGATTATCCATTGTCTGTTTAAAACAGATTGGTCTATTAATGATCTTCTGATCACATCCTTGATTGAATCAGAAAAAAAAATTGGGAGCTTAATTTTGTTAACAACAAGGCATAAAGCACTGTACAAGAAACAAAGACACACGAAGCATTGTCCCTGCCCTCAGAGAACATACACTCTATAGAGCCTGTGCTACTTTTTTCTATCATTATTAACCATTTATTATCTTCTATTGCTAGTCATTTCTTCAGGTTTTATTTCCCATGAAAATAATTAGTAAGTCTCAATCCACTTGCTAAATGTGGGTCAGATAAGTGGTGCCACAGAAGGGCTAAAAAAGGAACAAACACTTCTACTTAAATGTCTGGGGAGGTTCCCCGAGTTCCCTGGGATTTGCAGTGAGCTATAAAATATTTGGCCAGGGAGTAGGGAGGGGTTTAGGTATTAACAACAATAGCAACGGCAGTCGTTAAAAATTAGCACTTACTACGTGCCAGCATCTATTCTAAGCATTTTAGATACATTAACCTACTTAATTTTATGAGAAAATACTTTTAATAAGTTATTTTCAGTGATATACAGACAGAAGCACAAAAGAGAGATTAAATAAATTGTCCAAACTACACAGCAAGTAAGTAGTAAAGCGCATCTGGTCCCCGAGTGCATGGTCTTAACCACCATGCTGTCCTGCTTTGGAAATGAAAAAAATTGTGGGAGGGAGACCAGATATGTGAAAATACATACATATGTCTGAAGGTAGATGAAGGAATCACTGTGGTTCAAGTCAGGTGTTAGTTCTGTAGAAGTGGGACTAGGTTGAGGAGAGCCACAATATAAAGCTAAGACATTACACCCCTCTTCATAAACAATGGGACCAAGAACCAAACTGTAGGATAATAAGTCCAGTAACCAAATCTAAGATTGATGGGGGAGGAAGGGATTGGATATAAGGAGACTAATCAAGAGGCTTCTGCAATTGCCTGGCTAAAAGGGAATGTTGCCCAAACCTTGGTAGTGGTGAAAGGAAAATTGAGATGGATTCTGGAGGTGTTATGAAGAAACAACATTACGGCAGTATTCTTGGAAAACAGAGAGGAGGTGATGGTAAAGCTGACTCTACATTTTTTAAAGCTCAGATGAAGAAAGAACGCAGGTCCCTGAGCTTAGGAGTTGTGTCATTCATCTTTTTTTCCCCCAGGAGTAGCAAAATGCTTGATATGCCTTTTTAAAGTAATGAATAAATGAAGGTGATGGAAAGAGAAATGGGAACATCAGAAGTGATGATGCCACATATACCAAAAATCTCTACAGTGAATTTAGTAATTCATAGGATATCTGAGTGGCTTAGGTGGGTTGGCTTCCATCATGCCATTACTTATATAGAAATAGAATTTATTTTCTCTTTCCACCTTTGGCTTGGTTTTCAGATGCTACCTGATTTCCCCCCACCACACGCCTCGGATGCTCTTCCTCAGGCTGATCTCGGTCAGGCTGCGTTTCCTCCGCCCTGCCCCAGCGACTCCCATCCTTGCCCACCAGCTGCAGACTCATCCTGTCCAGATCTGACCCCTAATCAGAATGTTGCACTTATCAAGACGATAAGATAAGCAGGCTAACATACTTTACCTTTCTTTTATTTATTTTTTTAATAGCAAAGGGAGAAACCACAGACGTTTATCAGCCTTCTCACACAATCTTAGCTAAAAAGAATACTAAATTAATGAACGCACCTCATTTCTTGGGCAGTTAATGAAGGTTAATGTGACATACTGCCTCTGGCTCTGGAAGTTAAAAGGGGTGTTACTGCCTCATATTATAGCTGGGAAAAAAAAGTGTTAATAATCTTTCTCATCAGCAGTAAAGAATTGAGCTTTTAATACCCAGATATATTTTAGTAAAAGGCTAGTATATCATCTGTAAGTGGAGTTCAAGAGCAATGTTAGATAACTAGGGCATTTCGAGAGCCTGCTTACACCAGAGACCAAGAAAAAAAAAAGAACAAGAGGCAGAAAAAAAAAAAAACAGCCAAAGCTGAATTTATTCCAAGAAAAAAGAAAAACGTGAATTTATGTTGGGAATATTTTCATGTATATCACTTTAGATCAACTCTAATAATCTTTAAATAGTAAGAAGAAAACTTGGATCTCACAAATAAGTGATTTTGAGTAAATGGGTAAATGTGTGAGCAAGGTCATTGTTTGATTCAATGATGTTCACACAAATGTATTATGTGGACCTGCTAATCTAAGAGAGTGTGGTAGGCATTGTCTAGGGCCCTGAAAGAGCTTACAATACACTTACCCAGGAAGAAGACACTTCCCTTCCTTTCACAGAGGGAAGCTATTGCATTTGATGATAGTAAAAAAAATAGCAGGAGAGGCAGGGTAAGTGCAGTGGCTCACTCCTATAATCCCAGCACCGTGGAAGGTCAAGGTGGGCAGACTGCTTGAGCCCAGGAGTTCGAGATCAGCCTGGGCAACATGAAAAAACCCCATCTCTACCAAAGAAAGTACAAAAATTAGCTGGGTGTTTTGGTGTGCACCTGTAGTCCTAGCTACTCAGGAGGCTAAGGTGGGAGGATCACTTGAACCTAGGAGGTAGAGGTGCCAGTGAGCCATGATCATGCCACTGCCATCCAGCCTGGGTGACAGAGCAAGACACTGTCTCAAAAAAAAAAAAAAAGAAAAAGAAAAAGCAGGATATAGTTTAAAAAGAAAAAAAAAGAAGGGTCTGCTCTCTTGACAGGGAGCCAACCCACCTAAGCCACCTGAAGACGTTACCATAGCAGAAAGACCACCTTCCACATTACCACATTCAATGAATGTGACTCTTCAATCCTTTAAGTGATATAAGAATGCTATGCTTTATCTGTGCAATCCTGGGAAATATTAATGATGTGCTGATAGTGTCAAGAAAGGCAGGGTCTATAGGTTTATTTAGCAGAGTTGCTAGAGGACTTAAAACTGCATGTCATGGTTTCTAACCTCTTCAAAATGGATGCTGAATTAAGATGAGCCCTTCCCAAAGCAGACTGACAAAGT